GCAGAAGTTAAGGCACTTCCTCCACAGTTACTAAATCTGACAAATTACACCTGGATCTACTCTAACATGAAAAAGTGTGTTCTTTGTTCCTGACCTCCTGGTCAGCATCGAGATCAAATTCCTGGATATCGGAAAGCCCCGCTCATATTCATTAAAAGCCACGGGAGACCAGCCCTGCATTTCTGTTCAAGAGGGGAACAAGGTGCAGCCACCGAGTAACAATACGACTGCTCTGCTTGGGTCGGAGCACTACGGGCTTTTTACTTTCTGCAGCTTGGCTCCTGATCAGTTAGTACCTGTATTTTTTTCGACACAGCATCTTAGTATCAAAAGAGCAATTGAAACAAACAAAAAACAAAAAACCAAAGGGGCTGGTGGATTTTTAAATGGTGAGTGGGTTTCCTGAAACCTCTTTGTACTAAGATGCTGGCTACAGATCCAGTAACCAAAAATACAAAGCTGATTTCAAAAATTCCACCTTTCCCCCAACCTTGGCCAGACAAACAGATTAAAATTTTGTTTCCTCCTTCAAGCCATACTCTCAGCCTTTGGAAAAGACAGAACTCAGAGTGGTCATAAACAGGAAATTAGGAACCAAGGTGGTGGCAGAAAATCAACACGAGGGATACAAGAAATCCACAAGCTTTCCTGTCGTGGGACCCAAGTCCTAGGCAGACCTAACCTCCTGGCAACACGAGACCTTCTCTTTCTCCCCCAAAGAGGGACAGAAAAGCATAATAGGAGAAGTTAAGAAAAGCTGTGTCTAAACCGTTACTCCCAAAGATGCTAATACATCAGGCTTGATTCCTTTCTTCAAGATACTTGGAAGAACAAGATGGTGAAGGAATATATACAGAAGCCACAGAATCTGCCATGAGGCCTCCCGAGGCAGGGGTGCTGTCTGGATCTAGTCAGCTCTTGCCTTCCTTCCAAGGGAGCACCTTTCTTCTGGGAGAAGGCAGCACACTTACGTCTTCATCTGTGTAGGGAGACCACTGAATTTCCCCAGACCTCTTCCTCAGGAATCTAAGAAGTACCACAGTGCCCTCCTATTGCAAACACACACAGATCCTTGGAAGTGTTGTGAGTTATTCTCCCCATACAGATTCCGGCTAAACTGTAAATTAGAGACATTGCTTTAATTCTCTCTCATCTTTGGGAAGCTTTCAGCTGTGCTACAAGTTAAAACGGTGTAATGAATACGGACTAGTACTCCTTTTCTATACTAAAAAGCAAGTCACGATCCACATTTTTAAAATACGGGAGTTACAGCTATCTTCCTGGTGGGATGGCAGTCACCTTCGAGAAACCCATGACAGGATGGAAATCCTTCATATCAAGGGTCTTATTTTGATTTGTTTGGAAATTAAGACCATTAGTAATATCAAAATTCACTGGAAAAGCCTGGGAATCAAACTTAAACTGGTTTACATTATTTGGGGGCTGGAGTAACTAATGGGTTACTAAGTAGGCATTCACCTATGGGTGAATCTCGGGGATGGAAAAACCTAACTTCTGAAGGGAGTAAAGCTCTGGTATAAATCCACCCAAACTTCGCTTCTAGTCAAATTCGTAAGTGAAAGTGGTTACAACGTGTACAAGATATTAAAATAATCAAGCATGCCAGCAAATATGGATACTCTTTGAAAATTTTAGCTTTGGTGACTATTTAAGCAAGTGGTGGATTAGAGATACTAGGGCAGACCTCGCTGGCCCTATTTTACAAAAACAGAAGTTCAGTGATTGGCTTTGTGTCACTCAATCAGCAGCGGCTGAATTTAAGCTCGAATGCGCCCCATCTGACTCCTGGTCTAACAGTCTTCGTATGAAGATGGACAAAGGTATAAAGTAGATTTGGAAGACTAACCCCCCTGTAATCAGTAATAGCTCACACTCATTAGATGCTTACTCTATGCCAGGAAGTCTGTGGTATGCTGCAGATGCATTAACTCCTTTATCCTCATAGCAACCACATGGAAGAAGTAATGCTGCTATCTCCCACTTTAAAGATGAGAAAACAGAGACAGGGAGATGTTCAGAAACCAGCCCAAGGGCTAAATAAAGGGGAGAGCTAGGAAAATCTGTGCTCTCTGCACAGAAAGGCTAGCACGGGCATTCCCAAATCAATGTTCAGATTATCAGCAGTTCTGGGGATATTAACTTTTTTTAAAATTTTTAATTTAAATTCAATTTAGTTAACATATACTGTATTATTAGTTTCAGGGGTAGAATTTAGTGATTCATCAGTTGTATATAACACCCAGTGCTCATTACATCAGATGCCCTCCTTAATGCCCATCACCCAATTACTCCATCCTCCCCACCCCCTTCCTCTCCAGCAACCCTCTGTTTGTTTCCTAGAGTTACGGGTCCTTTATGGTTTGCCTCCTCCTCTGTTTTCATCTTATTTTATTAATTTTAACAAAATATCTTCACAGTGAGATCCAAATTACTATACCTCCAAAATATATATTGAAACTGAAATTTGCTTTTCATCAACCTCTGTATTCTTAGTCAAAAGACAAAGTACAGCAATTCCTATGGGTGACACAAATTCCATTTAAAGATCTCCCTTACTGTAAAGAAGTGCTAGGCAGGAAATAGTTTAAACTTTCTGGAAATCACAACATGTTATGTGTAAAAACAACTTTAGGATAACATTTCAGAAGACGCACCCTGCCTACCTTCTTGATTAAACCATCTTACTAAAATAAACAATTTCTGAATGACATCAATTCTGCTCAGACATAAACATTGTCTGAAGTCTTCACGCCCCATCACATCACATATTTCTGCCATCAAAAACGGATTATGCCCCATTACATCACATATTTGAATTACTATGTGTTTAGTGTGTTTTTTTTAATTTTTAAAATTTTTATTTTGTTTATTTATTTTTTAAATTTGAGACGCTGCAAGATCTGCCTCATTCCCTCATTCATCACAGCCGTCAGCTGGTGTAGCTAAACCTTATCCTGTACAGATTTGAATCTGCTCAGATAATGGAGGAAGTTTGTTTGCTATCATCATTTCAGCAACTATCAATCCGGAGGTGTCTCAAAGTCTGGCTTGTTCAGGAACGGCCTTCCATGTTCCGTGCCTTCGAAAGTCTTTCAAAAATCAACTTCAGGTATTAAAGAAATGATCTTAACTCCACTCAGAGCTTCTCTGCCAATCAGAGGTCCTTCCTCACCTCCTGCATAGTCATTAAGAAGAGAGCTGTGAGGATGGAAAAGCTCCCTCTCTGGCTGTTTGCTCAGAAATGCTCATACCGACATCGGGCGTTACCCTGAGACCAGTCTTCAGATTACACTTGGATAGGACCAATTTCTACTGTTTGTTCTCTTGCCCTTTACCACCTTGTGTATAAAGAACATTCACTGATGTACATTAGTAAAGCTGGACATCACCACCGCAGATTATAACCCCCAATTTCCACACCGCTACCATCACCATCTCAGTCATACGGTGCACACCGCAGTCAGACTCAAAACCAGGATGCTGCCACTCAGAGTCTGGGCAATCCCTGAGCAGTTACTTAACTTTTCTGTGCCTGAGTTTTTTTCACCTGCAAAATCAGAATCACAGCAGTGTCCGTTTCTTAAAGGCATTTTAAGGAAAATGAGATAAAAGATAAAAAGGCTTAGAACAATGGCTGGCATATAGTAGGTACTCAAGTAAGCTTTCACAGTCATTGTCGGGTTGATTTTTAAATGAAATATACTTCCTGTATTCACTCCTCAGTCCTTCTGGATACCAACTAGTAAAGCTAGAAAAAAAAAATGATCAACTGTTGAGAAAATAACCTCAACTTCCTACTCTACAGAGAACAAACCAAACTGTCGAGTGGGATGGCCAATCTGAATTCACGCTCTTTGTCCTCTTCCAGACTTATCCGTAAATCCTAGCACAGGGCTGGGATACTTCTCCAGGTTGGGTGAGTAAAGGTTAGTTCTTCTGCTCTATATACACACAGAGCTCTCAAAAAAGTAGATGAATAAAAATCCAAGGCTCCTCTGATATTGATCTTCTAGTCTAAAACTCCCACTTTAAAGATGAAGAAACTGGTTTGGAAGCTAAGTGACTTGCTCAAGTTCACATAAATACTTAGGAGCAGTACTGAGGCCAGAAAATGATCATCATTACCCTAAGCAAACCACCAGGCACTCTTCCACATCCATTATAAAACATCACCTAATTTAATCCTCATAAAAATCCTCTAAAGTAAGTACTGTCTCCACTGTCCTGGAGGTGCAGAAACTGAGGCTCATCCTCTGTGAATTAACGTCTTCAAAAGCACAGAGGTGACAAATGAGAGAGACAAGATCAAATGCTTCCTGTCTGGTCCCAAAGAATACGCACCTGTTTCAAGTTTTCTAGAGCTCAGTGCTAGAATTCTCAGCACTGAGCCTCAACCTGTAAATTTCAAACTGAGTGTACATCAGTCTCGTCTGGGGAGCTTTAAAAATACAAATTGCTGGGCTCTACCTCAGGAAGGAGAATCAGAGTCTCTGGGGGTATGGCTTCACAAATCTGTACTTCTTCAGAGTTAGTCAGGTGATTCTGATGTGTAGCAAGATTTGAGAAAACCTAACCTAAGCAAGATCTGAGTGTTTCCAGTGTAAAATGAGAAGGAAATGAGTTACCTAAGGCTGATGGCATGTTCAGAGTAGCTGAATCCACGTGAAGGGTAACACAGTGACCTTCCCCCAAACCCTTCTGTGTCCCACAGACACACACATAGCCCCAGTCACATAATCATATGCATATCTACCAAAGCCCTACTTCCATTGATCTTGCCTAAGGAAATCTGCACGACGGTGAAAACAACAAGCACCGTTCTTTCCAGCAGTGCTAGAATCTGTGTTGTGTTGGAAATATAGCAATAAGCTTTCTTTCCACCCTTATCCTTGCCATTGAAAGCACCTACGTTTGCATCATGATTTCTTAGTGCTGAACTAAAAACAAGAAGGGGGAAGATTGTTCCAATGAGCACTTACCAAGGTGCCCCGTATATCCTGAATCCCTTCACTGTTACCTCCGAGTCTTGTAAGTAAATACTGTTTGTCAGGAGGGACTGAACGTTGTCAAAGTCCTCTGGTTTCAATTTGGACACAGAGGGGAAACGGTAGTAGTCCTGTTTAACAAGGTCTGCCATGAATTCCTTATCAAATGTCAGTTCATGATTCCCAGCAATCACTATTTTATATTCATATGGCAGGTTTCCTGAAATAAGAAAAAAGAGTACCAATTAGCACGTTCATTTCCCATCACGAAGTACAACAGCCGAGACTGTGTGATTAGCAGACAGTACACCCGAATGAAATAGCTCACGCATTCCTTTCTATTTCCATGGGAACCAAAATTTATGACTACGCCTTTATGCTAGCAAAAAAAAAAAAAAAAAAAATGACAATAAACAGGAGAGAGGAAGCTGCTAAGAAGCTTAAAAGCTACTAAGAAGACATTCAGCTTTCTAGTTCCATTTCCGTCTTCTGCATGCTAGAGATTTACCGTGATGAATCTACACTGTGATGAATCATACTTTATAATTATCCAGTGAAAAGCACTTTAATCACGATCCTTAAAAAAAGGTCTGGACTTGGTTTGGTCCTCAAAAATTAAGCCAACCAACTGTTCTTAACAACTCAAAGGACTGCTTGATTTGTAGTATATCCTTCAAAAGTATATTTGTAGTAATATCATACAAAAGACATGGCGTAGCCAAGCATTTCACAATGTACATAAAGGAAAGGAACTCCAGAGTACAATTTCATATTGTAAGTTAAAATTTACCTTGTGGCTTGTGAATAAAAAGAACATTAATAATGGCCCCCTGATTAGAAGGCTAACTTTCCTCCCATTGGGATGGGAGAAGAAACTGTAAAGCTTAACCCCCTTTTAATATTTATGGTATGGAAATGTGAGTTCTCGGTATGTGCTTTTTATGCAAAAGTTTCCCGATCAAAATGAGATAATTCTGGGAAGAAGAATGAAAGCTATAAAGGAAAACCCAAACACCAGACTTCTGCATAGATTTATAATGTTTGAATAAAGTACGGATCATACATATTAATAACTCACCGTGATGCTATAAGAACCAAAATCCAAAGGGAGATAGTGCCGGGCAGCTGTCCCCATCCTGAAATTAATGCCCTTTTCTCTTCTTTGTCATTACCCGTCCCTCAAGCCTCACTGCAGAGCTGCTGCTCATTTTATTTTATTTCATTTTATTTTAGGGGAGAAAAGGGTGGGGCAATGGTGCCTATAATTCCAGCTTCCTGAGACTCCTGGGTCCAATGCAAAATTAATGTTTCCTGCTATTCCAGGAAGAATGAAAGTTATCACTAGCAGGAAATTGGATACACTTGTTGTAGGAATTGATCCTTACCAGCAAGCCAGAGTCAATGATTTAATTAATGAAGCTTAGTGGGGAGGAAAATTATATTTTGGGGGTGGGGGCAAGTTTTGCCATAGGTATTCGGACCTCAGCAATGCAAACTGCAGAGACTATGCTGTGAAGTCCTCAATCTCAGCAGCACACTGCAAACATGTTTGCTAATATTGAAACTTTTTTTTTTTTTTAAGGAGAGCAAACACCAGTGGGGGTGAGGGGCAAGGGCAGAGGGAGAGGAATAGAGAATCTTAGGCAGGGTATGTGTTCAACATGGAGCCCGATGCGGGCCTCGATCTCACAACCCTGAGATCATGACCTGAGCCAAAATCAAGAGTTGGACGCTTAATCGAATGAGCCACTCAGGCGCCCCTGAAATGATTTTTAAGATCACCAGAATATGCTTTGTAATGCTATTTTCTTTAGCTTTCAATTTTTAGGTTTCTATCAGTAATGAAATTGCATCTATAACACATGGTTTAAGAGGGAGGCTTAAGAAAGAGATGAAAGCAGTCAGAAAATAACACCGCAGAAAGCGGAAACCACAAGCATCACGGCCAAGCGTCAATGGATATCCTTGACTACTAGCGCACAATGCTGTTCGACGTGCTTTTGGCCTCAGTTACACGTAAGGCTGTGCTAAAGAGCTCACAGAAAATAGGAAGCCCTCTCAAATGTGTGTTTTTGCAAGTTTATAATGTGCACTAGCATAAGGCAATGAGGAGTGTGATGTATGTTGCAAGCTACTCGGATAGAATTATATTTTGCACAATTCCCTACACTTAAGATACAGTTGAGAGATGTATTAACAGGCCATAAATCCCCGACACCACGCACACTGGAAATTTGTGAGATGCCCCACGACTTTAACATCATGGCTCTGTGACCCCCTTTGGCCTGATACTGCACCCCCAGAGTCACCTGTGCCCCCAAAGCCAGAATGGGCTGACACATTTTCCTTGACAGTAATCTCAAGGCAGGTCGGACCTGCGTGAGTCTTTGAGCAACTCTACTTGTACAAGTCATGCTATAGCTGCCCAGTTCTGTTTTAATCATTCATGATGATGGACTCAATGTAAACCTTTCTTTATGCACCACTGCTCTTGCAAGAAGGTTTAGCTTCTCACTTTTTCCATTTTAGAGTTTTGGTTCAGGAATGGCGTGAGTGAGACTGAGAAACAAGGCAAAGGAAGTATATTTTCCCCCTTTGAGCCATTTTTTTTTTTTAGAGAAAGTGAAACTGCTGCAAAGTAAATCTTCTTCAGGGAGACAGGTCTCTTCAGCGTCTTTTAAATCAAATTTTGGAGACTCAGCATAAAGAAGTAGCCACCAAAATGGAGAGCCGCGAAAACAGTGGTGATATTTACATACTGCCAACAAATTCGTCTCTTTCTGAGACTCCAGAAGTAGTTTCCAACTTCCATCCTCTGTTACCTATGTTGGGACACTGTCTGACATATATTTATATATATGTAATTTTTATATATACAATTTTTATATGTAATTTTTTCTGAACTGACCTTTCATTTATTATCTGCCAACCTTTGTTTTATATGATAGGTGTAAGCAGGGCAGCTGACAAATCTGTTACTTGATGGTATTTTTTTTCGAGGTTCATTTGGAAGGCTCTGCAGTCAAGCTCGAAACCTCTTGGTATTCATATAGCATCATTTAAAAATTGTCAGACAAAGAGGTGCCTGCCTTGATCCATTTTATTCAGATCAGGCCATTGAAGTTGACATGCCCGAATAAAAAAACCCGAGACTATATACAGTTATTCTAACATGGAAAAATTCTTGCTTTGAATGACATAAAGAACTCTAACTAAGCATTCCATCTTTCCCAAGACATGCTATATGTTCTACAAGCGAAATACAAGATTATTTTAAGTGGAATGGAGATAAACTTTTGACAAAACGTCAAATAGTTCTGTATGTCTTAAAAATGCATATTTGGAAAAATACAATATGACAGTACAAATAATGATATATGGTTTCATTTTTGGTTTCTGTTTTTCATCTCTACTTTCATTTTTCTATTTTTACATATAAAATAGGAGATGATTTAAAGAAAACTATCGAGCAAATAATACAGATGATTCACAAGTATGGCAAAGTGATGACTATAGCAAGTAAATGAACGAAATGTGGGAAATTAGCCCATCTTCTCATGTTTCTAATAACTGGCCTCTTGATCTTATTCTTCCCACTCTCACTGGCGCTTTAATTTTCCAGACATCTATTTTTGATATTTTGGGTATCTCCGTCTCTACTTAATCCTCCTTCTTAATGAGTTTTTGTTTACCAAACCCAAGAAAACAAAAACAAGCAGCCATTGACACTCACATACACACACACACACCTCTCACATACAATCCTAAACCATGCTTATTTTTGAGATGCTTCTTCGTTTCACATCTAAACTTTTGGAAAGAGGATTCCAGAAGCTTGCAGCTGGTAGGCTAAATACAGGCCACAGATGTATTACAGTTGGCCCTCAATGCTGTTTTGTGTTTTGTTTTGTTTTTAAATTGAACTAACATTTAGAAATCAGGAGATGTCATGCAAAAAATTCTGATTTTCTAGCTACTTTTGGAAAATCAGAAGACCAGTCAATACTGACCTTCATCCAGTTGGCCACAGACCTTTCCACTCCCTATGACTTCTCACACCTGGCCCACTTACCACGTTTATGTTGCCTGATGGTCCCCTCTGTTATCAGAATTAGCAACTTAAGAGACATGTGGTCACTCAGAACTTAGCGCATGCAATCTGGCTTGTGTTTCTATTCTCTTCCCAAAGCTTTCCCAGAATGTCAACAGTAACTTACTAAGAGCCAAAGCCCAAACATTTTCTCACTTCTCATCTCCGTGGATCATACCACAGTGACATTCCTGTCCCTCAAAGTCTCTACCCCCTTGACACTGGATGTTGTGCTCCCTGGTTCTCCTCCTGTCTCTGTTGCATTTCCTTTCCTTCGTCTTCTTCCTCAGCCCCCTTTGCCTCCTGTCTCATTCTCATGGACTCATTACATTCTCCCTCTTCATCTTTATTTTTATGGATATTAGTTAATATTTTCTTACAGTATGTCTCACCCTATTCTATTCTCTGTGATTCAATTTTAAACTATTACAATTTAAACGATGGAGGCAGCATAAGGTCACGGGCAGGGGCTCTGCTGCAGGCTTCACCACACATTGGCGGCGTGACCTTGGACAGAGTCCTTATGTCCTCTCAAGTATGCTAGCAAAATGAGGATAATAACTGCACCCACCTCATAACCTGTGCTCGAGATAAAATGAGATAAAGTTTCTAGAGCACATGCACGGTATGGACTAAACAATCAGTGCATGTTAATTATTTTTTTACTCCATTTTTCTTAGTTTTGCTTTTTGCATGTGACTTGTCTTCCCCCTAGACTGTGAAATCCTTGAAGGTATGGATCATGGCTTGTGGCTTCATATTTGACCCAAAGTACCCGGTTCCATACCTTCCAAATGGCAGGCACAGGAGTACTATTCGCTGAGTAAGTGGAAGAATGAACGAACTTCTGCAATATTTGCCAGGAGCTTTCTTAGGAGAGTTATAGAACCTGAGCTTGTCATCTTGGGATATGACAAAGTTTAACCGCTGTCACAATGTCCTCCAGAGACACTCAGAATTTACCCAGTTTAAGCCTCCGGAAGTGTCCCATTCTCTGCCCCCAAATCCAGTCTAGCCAGAAAAATCTCTAACAAGCCATTTTTTAACTGGCCTTTTCCTCAAATTTAAATGGGGGAAAATAATACTACCTCCCCCCAAGGTTTGGTACACATTAAACAAGATGCTGCATG